GTAACGCTCACCCGTGACTGCTGTGGCTGAAAAGGTGTGGGTGGAAATGAGTGAGTGAAAGATTACTTGGTCCTGTGCGTTGTGGCTGGAGAACTCCATAGCTGTGAAACCACAGAGCAGGGTCCTCTGAGGTAGGACATCTGTGACCAGGAGGGACAGTGGGGGGAAGGAAAAGGCAAGGGAAAGAGGCAGAGAAGAAGAAATGCTTTATGCACTGTCTGCCCTGAGAGTTCAACAGGAGAACTCCCAGCTCCTTGGGAATCCTGAACTTGAGGATCCTCCTCCTGGTGTATGGGGCACTCCCCAAGCCCAGGGGTTTAGTCCATGCTGCCCTTAGTCGGTTGCCAGTCCCCTACTTTTTTTCTTTATATTGAGCCTGGTCTAAAGCATCACTGCTGCTCTGGGAAGAGGAACCAAACACTTGTGCTCTTCTGCCACCTGCTGTAATGTTAAGGAAGGGTCTCTAACTGCCCATCTATGAACTGTTAGAATTCAAGTTAATAAATCTTGACCTACATGAAAAAGGTGTTGGCTACTTCAAATGATCTGGCGGAGGAAAATCTCATGAAAGACCATGAAAAATTCTGGTAACATGATCTTCCTAAAATAAAATGACAGTTCTCCCACCACCAAACCTAAATTAAACATTGTTTTATTGGATGCCTGTAACAAGTGGGTTTAATCCTTTCCTCCAACTGGCACATTATGAAATCACACTTAATTTTACCGGAGCCCGTGTTTTATGTCATGTTTTCTGGAACTGCTCAGAAGAACTTGAAGCAATTAAACATAAGATGTATTATATGGCTGTGAAAGTAGGAAGTATAATAGTAATCCTACTTCCATCAGGATAATTTATTTTGAGCAAGAAAAATCATTCATGGACAATGAACAGTGTTTGTGGAAAAAGCAGGGGGAATTTGAGCCTGATGAGCAGGGGGAGGGCAGTGAAGCCTGCTGTTTGGTGTTCTTCCTGCAGCGTCTCAGATGTCTCTCCAGTGTCCTTCAGGAAAACCTTCCCTGTGCTTTGTCATTCCTTGCCCTCTTCTCCCAACATGGGATCCCGGGCTGCATTCAGGGGAGATAAGCTTTCTGGCCCAATCATGCTGGGCCATGTCTGAGTCCAAGGTCCCCTTCCTGTTCCTCTTTCACCCTGAGTTGTGTGGAGCTGGGGCTGGGCTGGGCTTGAAGACTGGGGTGTGTGAGGGTGTGGGGAGCAGTGTCCCTTTAGCTCGAGCCCTTCCTCCTCTGGGAATTTCCTGGATGAAAGGTTACTGGGTGGCAGGACTCCTGTCTTCCTTCATCTGTGCATATTTGAGAATGAAGTGTCATAAGTACAACTTGTGTAGTCCAGTTCCTGGAGCTTAGTAGGTACTCAATAAAATTTGGCTTTCTTCCCTCTGACTTTTTGCAAAATTCCACTATGTTCTCAGGCCTTGAGGAATCTCCCCATTGGGCAGAGATTGGTGGTTTGCAGTGGAGGGTGGACCTGGAAGATGATATTGGCCCTTGTCTGCTTTGTTGCACTTGAGATGGATTTTCCCAATATTCCTGAGTCTAAGTGGATATTTGCAGAATAGATCTTTGGGGATGATAACGTGGGATGTATTCAGGTATATGTAGAAGCCCCGGGTTTGCCCAGAGTTTAATATCTCAGACCAGACATATGGATGGAAACCAGTCACTCCCATGCACCAATGGGTCCGTCAGTCCTTGCTTCATGAAAACAGATAGAGTGGATCATTCAGAACAATTGAGAGTGAACACAGGCTGCGAGAGGCTTTGCGGGGTGCATGGTTGTGGAACTATGAGACATTTGTTTCCTCACCCATAGAATTAAGACAATAATGACAACAACCTGGCAGAAGTGAGGCCAGGGAGGCTTTAGCCCAAACTGGTATCTTAACACCAGTGACTTAGCACATGAACACCCAAGCACTGGGGGGCTTGAGGGAGCAAACAAGGTGGTTGAGTCTGACATTTTTCTAGCCCAGTGCCGCATATATATTTGGGGTAGGAAGAGTGGGGAAGTTGGTTCAGTTGTTGCATCCACCCAGCGGTTGACTTATTTAGGTCAGAGTTAAGTCTTCCTATTTCTCAGTGGACTGAAGTGTTTTCCAAATTGGACAGAGAAGCCAACGTACTGCTGAGGTGAATTCTCTGCACATGAGCTCAGGCACAGTTTCATGAGTGTTTGCTGTGTGCTGGACACGTGACCAGGGCACACAGTGCCTCCCTTTGTGGATGCCACGGACATTCCACAGGAGATCACATGTCGGGGCTGTGGAGGAGAACAGGGTACCACTAAACACCAACAAGCATGTGAATGGGGCATATATGCAGATGAGCAGGTTGTCGAAGGCCCCTCTGAGGGAGGTCACCTTAGGTGAGACTGGAATGGTGACCAGTTTGGAGGACGACGGAGAACAGGAATATCCAGGGTCTTGTGAGATGGCCTGAGGCTAGGATAGCTCCATGAACTGGAGGAATGTTGCCAGGCCAGGAGGGAGCACTGGGAGCAGTGGAATGAGGTCAGAGAGGAAGCTGGGTTTGCTGAGGTTTAGCAGGAGGATCCCTGGAAGGGGTGAAGCAGAGCTGATACAAGATGATTTGAGAGGTTATAACCTTGGATGGAAAATGACCTTGAGAGTGCCAGGCTGGAGGTGGGCAGGGGACGCCCATGGGGAAGCAGGGACACCGTGTCTGGGTGAGGGGGGGAGTGAGATGGGTGCGGAGCTAGAAGGTAGCCATGGATATGGATCAGAGAAAAGTCTGGAACTTTCTGGCGCACTGGCAGCAGACTGGGTGGGAAAGTGGAGTGTGTGGTGGAATGACCCTCCAGTTTCTGGCAGGCATAACTGGGTGACCCCAGGTGTCCTTTACTGAGATGGGGAACTGCAGGAAGGCAGGGGCTGGAACGGAAGTCCTAGTGCTCCACAGTGTTCATTCAGAGACCACGGAATCCACCTTTCCTGGTGCACACTGGTGGGGAGGGGCTGAATGGTGCACCCAGGCTTTGTGTGATAGTATAGTATTAAGAAGCCACAGGGTGCTGTCCATTCAGCTGGGGCAAGGCCAGTGTCCTGGAGTTGGTCCTGGAAGATTCTGTGATGCTCAGGCTTAACCCCTCTGTTGCCACGCAGTGGGGAGTACCTGGGTAATCGCCTGGTGATAAAAAGCAAAGCAGTTACACTGGGGACATTTCAAAGGCTCCTGCCACATAGCATTCACCCACCAACAGAATAGTTTTGGTAGTGAACAGAAAGTACAAGTAGCCCCAAGCATAGGGCTTTTTTAATCATGGCTGTGCCACACACATTCCCTGCTTCTGGTCTAGAAGCTAGCCAACCTGGTGAGTGGCAGTTGTTCCACAAAGGATTATGGAGTCTCCGTCTCTGTGTGTCCCCTGGCAGAGTGGGTCAGTGTATCTGTACCTGCCCTGTTTCTTTGGCTCTGATCATGCTGTTTCCTTCCTGATAACTAGGGTGCACCGTCCAGAGGGCAGGGCAGAGTCTTCTAGGGTTGCATTTTGTAAGCTTTCATTTTCAAATGGTGGAAGGAGTCAGCACAGGAATCTTCTGTCTGGGAGTGCTGAGTGTCCCAGGTCCCTGTTTCAGCTGAGACCTCTGCAACCTGTGCCCGGCTGTGCTTCTCCACTCTCCTGGAACCACCTGCCTCTCAGACAAGAGGAGCCTGTGGCACCAATGTTGGATCTGGAGCAGGGTTTGGGGCTTGAGCAGTGAACCGCATGTGCAATCTCTGAGAGCAGATTTGGGGCTGGCTGAGGTCTCACAATACTGAGTCAGAGACGCTCCAGAAGCCCCAGGTTTTCAAGCAGGTGAGTGGGTTCTGAAGACAGTTGCTGGACAAGAAGAGGAAAGTGGGGAGCAGATTCTTAGGAGGAGGACGCCGGGATCCTGATGGGGATGGGGGGCTGGTGAGAATAATAATGAGGCTCTGAGATGACCCAGGCAACTACAGTGCCTGCTCCACTTTATTCATTTACTTAATGACATTTGTGTAGTGATCCTAGGAATAGGCACTGTTCTAATGTGCACTGACTCTCCATATATAAATTCATAGGATACTACTTATACCATGGGATGAGATCTTATTACTCTCTTCATATTGTATATAGGACCTGGGGCAGAGCAGGTCAAGAAACTTGTCTCAGGTGATTCCCATAGCAGGTGGCTGAGTGTGGAGGAGACCTTAGCAGTCAGCCCCAGAATCTGTCCTTCCCAGGACCACTGACTCCCCTCTCCCCTCAGAGTCAGTGGTTTGAAGCCCTTCTTTTTTGACCAGGTCTCCTTTTATCCTGTGCTTCCCACTGCTCTGCTGGGATCCTTTATCCTGAGGCAGAAACTCCTCAAAGATAGAGAAGATGAGGATTAACCGTTCATGGGGAATTGTCTGGCTTCAGCTATGAGCAAGTCCAAGTCCTTGGTCCTGAGCAGAAAAGGGCTGCAGGAGGCAGGAGCTGAAATCAGGGTGAACTCACCTATCAAAGGACCCCCAGAACAATGTGTCTGTGGTGGGTGCCACAATGTCCTTGAGGAGGACGCTGTCTGACTGTCATGCTTCTCAGTCATTCTCTGGTCATAATTAGGGGGCAGCAGAAGAACACCACACAGGATCTGGTGTGTCCTTCATGGGGAGGGCCCTGAGTCTATGCCTTGTGTCCCTGGACCTCTGTGGTCATCTGTGACTTATGCAGACATGGAGGAGGCCTCCGTGCTGAGGCGGGAAGGGTCTGGTCCTGTGGGCAGATCAGGCTGGGAAAGTTTCCAAAGGACTGGGCGGGCTTTCCTGGCATCAGGGTTGTGGGGTCCCCACCTCATCAGCATACTGAGCAGTCGGAAAGACTGTGCTCTTGCTGGGGACTGTTGCCAGCCCTGAGCCCTCCTGTCTGCTCTGAGGCCCAGAGCTCTGAGCTGGCCCTGCTTCCTCTCAGGATGTGTCACCTGCTTCCTGCCCTGTGTCTCCCCAGGTCTGAGGAAATGGAGGATTGCTGCAGAGGCTTTTTGCTCTCCCATCTCTCCTACCTGCTTCTACTCTTCCAGCTGCCTGCTGGGGGCTCTGCAGGTGAGATGTCCCCTCCCCCTTCTTATGTCTCCCTGGGGTGGGTGAGAGCCCCCAGAGCTCTGCTGCTGTCTTCATCAGGACAGATGGCTATTGGTGGAGGCCCTGGCTCTAGACAGATTCTGGAGATCCTTCAACTGCTATTTGAAATTAAACACATAAGAAGAATTCCAGAACTGCAAAATATGGGCAGGGGAGCACGAGAGTTCTAATGAGTTTATGTCTTATGAAGTAAAAAATGTGAATTTCACTATGAAAAGTATGAAAATACTTTTCTCTTTATTTTTTGTTTCCTGGCTTTATTGGCTTCTTGTTTCCTGGCTTTACTGGTACTTCTATTTCATAAATATTTATAGGGTACTGAGTACATGTTAGGTGCTACTCTGTGTACAAAGCAGATAGTCTCTATCTTTACAGAGCTTACTCTGGCAGGGACAGCGAGTACGAAATGCCACAACCCCATACAGTTTATGTCTGTTAGAGGAGTGGAGAGCATGGGACAAGGATGTAGAGCAGGTGGGGCAGTCAGGGCTGCAGGATGGCAAGTGGGCAGGCAGCAGTGCTCCATAAGGTGGTCACTGTATGCAGTGAGATGGGAACAAAGTCATGGAGGAGGTGGGAGGAGCCTGTCTGGATCCCAAGGAAAGAGGTTCTCCACAGTGAGGAACAGCCAGACAAAGCTGGCGGTGTGCCTGGGTGTTCAAGGAGCAGAGGAGGTGAGTGTTGGCAGGAGCAGAGTGAATGAGGGGAAGAGATGCAGGAGTTGGGGATCAGAGAGCAGGGAGGTCTTCCTTAATGGGCTCAGGATCACTTGGGCAACTGCAGAATCATTGAAGTTCTTTGGTAGAGGAGGGACATGGTTTTGGTTCCAGGTTTAAAGGTTCACAGATATTGACTGGAGGGAGGATGTCACAGGGAGACTAGTAATTGTCATCCCCCAGGTGAGACAGATAGTGACTCAGCCAAATTTGAGTAGCACAGGAGCTGAGAAGTCAGTGTTTGGTTGTCTGGTGGGGTTTGTCCTGTAGAAGTGTCCTGCAGGACCTCAGGTCTCAGAAGACCAAGGCCTGCGAGAAGCTGTGGGCAGAGGGATGAACCCTCTTTGGGAACAGATAGTGATTTGGGTCCTGTGAGCAATGGAGTGAAGGCAGGTTTTAATGGAAGTAGCTGTGAGGTCTAGTTTTTAGTGCACATAGAATTCAGCAGAGAACAAAGACATGGGCAGAAGTAATAAATTTAGGAGCATGTGTAGGAAAGTTTCAGTTGTGGTGCAATGAGTAGGATGTTACCGCTAGGCCATAGTAGTGTTCTTTGGTGAGTTTTCAGTCCTGTCCTAAAGGGAGGCAGGTTAGAGCTGTGGTTCTCAGAGTGTGGTCCCTGGATCGTCAGTATCAGCTTCTCACCACCTCCTTCGAAATGCACATTAATGGATCCACTCCAGACCTCCTGAACCAGGAGGCCTGGGGGTAGAGCCCACCAGTCTGTGTTTCACAGGTCTTCCTGGTGATTGTGATGCCTGTGGAAGTTTAGAACGACTGAGTCAGAATGTCCTTCATGGAAGGGCCTGGAGTCAGGAGCAAAGGCTGCTGAGGAGAACCTTTGACACCATTTGTGTATTTTAAATTTGTTGTAGGATAAAATTGTTCCATTAGGAGTTGTCACAGCTGTATCCCTCAGTCAGGGCCTCCCTCCTGACAGCATGTTTCCTTCCCTGTCCTGCATCTCTCCAGCTTTCTCACTCCTATGTCTGTGTCCACAGAAGAGTTTATTGTGATAGGCCCCTCGGAACCCATTGTGGCAGTGCTGGGTGGGGACATCACGCTGCCATGTCGTGTGTCCCCTGTGATGGATGTGGAGAATATGGAGCTGCGGTGGTTCCGCTCCAAGTTCTCAGAAGCAGTATTCATCTATCAAAACCAGCGGGAGCAGAGAGAAGAGCAGTTGGCTCAGTACAGAGGGCGAACCTCACTGGTGAAGGATTTCCTCACCCAGGGGGAGGCTGCAGTGCGCATCCACAATGTCCAGGCTTTCGACAACGGGCTGTATACCTGCTTCTTCAGAAAGGGAATCTTCTATGAAGAGGCCGGTTTGGAACTGAAGGTGGCAGGTGGGTTGCTGATGTATATTTAGAGACCTGCAGTATTGGAATTTGGAGCCACCCAGGGTCTAAGTTAATAGCCCTTAATTTATAAAGAGGGAAAATGGGTCTTTCACTCTTCATTTTTTCAGTATACACATATAGAACTCCTGGTATATGATTGCTTTGTTCTCTGCACCTGGATATCTCGGTGTAACAAATAAAGATCCCTGCCCTGTAGAGTTTATATTATACGGACAATAAATAGCCAAATAGATAGGTTATAGACAATGTTAGATGGTGGTGAGTAGAGATTTAGCCAAATAAATATTTTAGGGATGACAGTTCCAAGCAGAAGAACACCCATGTGAGACACCTGAGGGAGGAGTGTGGCTGGTGACTCTGGGCAGAGAGAGAGGCCATATGATTGGTGTGGAGGTGAATGGGAGGGTGGTGAGAAGTGACTATCCGGAATACAGAGGTGTTCCTGGTCTGGGTGCACAGAGACGGGATTTATTAGGAGAAGCCCGTGAGTAACTTGAGCAGACATTTGAGTGAAGCAGACAGTGTTCTGAAATGGCCTTCTGGTTGATGGATCTGTGTGGCGCATACACAGCATGGTGATTGTGGTTCTAAGCAATCAACCGAATTGTCTTGGGCCTGGACTGTGTACTCCCTAACAGGTGAGGATGGTGGGATTGGGGAAGAAGTGGATAGGAGTTTCGTTTGTGAGGTAGTGGGGGTGGTAATACCAGACCATCAAAGGATTCGTGTGCTCTTATGCAGTTTAGATGCAGGGCTGAGGGAATTTCAAACAGAGCAGTGGAGCGAGGTATGTGAGGGTAGGTTTGCTTTGGCAGCTGTAATGGAAGGTGTATGGAAGGTGAGCAAGACTGGAGGCCTGGATGTAGTTATGGGGTGAAGAGGATGGCCCCTTGCATTCATGTAGAAGCAGTGTGGTGGGAAAGGAGCACTCCAGCATCAGAGAGGTTTGGATGTAGACCCAGCTGAGTGAGGAGATTTGGGGACAAGGGACTTCAGGTACTCATAGGTTTGTTTTTTTTTAATTGATTGTTTAGTGGTAGAAATATTGATTTTATGTGTAAGCTGCAGGTTACTGCCATAATGCTGTGTAATACAGAAATAGAAATCACATTGGCCTATAACAAAGAGCATTTTTTAAATCCGGCATTCAGGGAGTTTAGCTCATCTGGGCTGTGTTTGGCTAATCTTAACAGGTCTTACTCATAAATATTCGGTCATGTAGGGGAAATATAATTAAAAACATAATCTTCCTACCCAGAATCTTGTCTCTAAGATAGTAGGAAGATCCTTTTAAATATTAAATTAGCATTAACTACAATGTGCTGTGCCTCACAGAGATTCTACCAAGAAATGCAAAGACAGAAGAAATCTCATCTTTTTCATATGCAGACAGAACTCATTCCATACACGTTCTCACAATCAACAGTTATGAGCCCTCAAGTAGGTGGACTTGCCAGCACCATTTGTCCTAGATGGTACACCTTATATTTGCTTGGAAATTGGGTGAGCATGTAAGTTAGCTAATTGGCTTTATTCTGAGGAAAACCAAATTCTACTGTAAAAATATAAAAAAAAATAATTCCAGTGTATTTAAGATAGAGTGTTATATTCATTTCAGGTGTGCAATATAGTGATTCAACACTTTCACATTACTCAGTGGAATTTTCAACAGAAACTCTACAGGCCAGAATGGAGTGGTGTGATATATTCAATGTGCTAAAAGGAAAGTAAAATCTGCAGCCATGAAACCAGCAAGGGGATCATTCGGAATGTAAGGAGAGATGAACAGTTTCCCAAACAAATAAAAGTTAAAGTAGTGTTGTTTTTGTTTTTGTTTTTGTTTTTTTACCAATTCTCCCATCATGATGACAGGCGGTGATTTTACACGTGGATCATGGTGCCCACTGAGGTTAGGCTCCTACCCTGGCAGAGAACGGGAAGAGAGGGCTGCTGTCTTCCTTGGTGTGAGCAGTTCAAAGAGAGAGCTCCCAGGTCCTTGAGAAACACATTCTTAGATTACAGAGCTGGCAAAAGGCCTATTAGTTTTGGTTTTGTTTTTGTTTTCTAAAGTACTTATATACATTTCAAAGAGGAGAGAAAATACTCAGAACCACAAATTTCCTCAAGTAAATGCTATAAGAAAAGGATTAGAAGGGGCTCTCTTTTCCTATTTTCAACAGGGACAATAAGCCTCTTATTTTAATATACTTTGTCCTGACAGTGGACCTTGGCTGGATTTGCTCAGCTGGTGTTGTCCAGGTGGCTATTGGTTGATCTAGGAGAGCTTCAGCTGGAAAGGCTGCGCTAGGCTGAAGATGTCTGTCCTGTGGCAGAGGACAAGGCAATGGCAGAAGCAGTTTCCAACCTCTGCTAGAGTCTCATTCCCTGAACTCTCAGGGGCTGAGTCAAGTCACAGGATGGAGCCCAGAAACAGAGTGTGAAGGCATTAACAGTAGGTGGCAGAGGGCTGGCTGGATATAAAGAAGAATGAAAGATTGGGTATATTTTCATCATTATCCTCAGAGATGGGGCCAAACATGAATTAGTTCAGGATTTGAGTCTGAAGCATCTGTGAGGAATCCTGGCACAGCTAAGCCAGAGATGTGGATATTAGCCAGCGAGCTCAGGAGGTATGTAGGTTGGTAGAAGTGATGACCGATGGAGGCATAATACTCCATAGTATATATGGACCATATCTTCTCTATCCATTCGTCCATTGAAGGGCATCTTGGTTCTTTCCACAGTTTGGCGACCATGGCCATTGCTGCTATAAATATTGGGGTACAGATGGCCCTTCTTTTCACTACATCTGTATCTTTGGGGTAAATACAGTAGCGCAATTGCAGGGTCCTAGGGAAGCTCTATTGTTAATTTCTTGAGGAATCTCCACACTGTTCTCCAAAGTGGCTGCACCAACTTGCATTCTCACCAGCAGTGTAAGAGGGTTCCCCTTTCTCCACATCCTCTTCAACACACATTGTTTCCTGTCTTGCTAATTTTGGCCATTCTAACTGGTGTAAGGTAGTATCTCAATGTGGTTTTAATTTGAATCTCCCTGATGGCTAGTGATGATGAACATTTTTTCATGTGTCTGATAGCCATTTGTATGTCTTCATTGGAGAAGTGCCTGTTCATATCTTCTGCCCATTTTTTGATATGCTTATCTGTTTTGTGTGTGTTGAGTTTGAGAAGTTCTTTATAGATCCTGGATATCAACCTTTTGTCTGTACTGTCATTTGCAAATATCTTCTCCCATTCCGTGGGTTGCCTCTTTGTTTTGTTGACTGTTTCCTTTTCTGTCCAGAAGCTTTTGATCTTGATGAAGTCCCAAAAGTTTGGGACTGGAAGAGATTATGCTGAGTGAAATAAGTCAAGCAGAGAGAGTCAATTATCATATGGTTTCACTTATTTGTGGAGCATAAGAAATAACATGGAAGACGTGGAGATGGAGAGGAGAAGGGAGTTGAGGGAAATTGGAAGGGGAGATGAACCATGAGAGACTATAGACTCTGAAAAACAACTTGAGGGTTTTGAAGGGGCGGGAGTGGGAGGTTGGGGGAGCCAGGTGGTGGGTATTAAGGAGGGCACATATTGCATGGAGCACTGGGTGTGGTGCAAAAACAATGAATACTGTTGCACTGAAAAGAAACAAAAGAAAAAAAAAGAAAAAAAAAACCAGAACAGGGATATTGATGGGAAGACCATATAGTTGGCTTCAGATAGGGGCAGGGGGATGCCTGAGAAAATAAGAGCACATTAAAATTATTTATTATTATTAAAAAAAAGAAAGTAGAATAAACAAAAACCAATTAGTCACACACACACACACACACACACACACACACACACACACACACACAAGAACTGAGGACCGAGTGGCAGTGGGTGTGCCCGCAGATGCCCTGGAGAGTGTGTGAGTTGAGAAGAGCAGAGAAGGATGGATCCTGGAACCAAGTTCCTCCATCACTCTGAATGATGGAATTCCCACCCTCATGGTTAGGGAGAAGAGCCTGCCCTCTGGGCTGCTGTAGGCCCCCATGATCCTTCCTTCTGTTCCCCATGGCAGGACCTCTTAAATTAACCCTTGTAAGGAAACACTCCCACAAGGAGCCCCCAAAGTGCCATGCTACCCTTGGAGTGGAGTACAGAGGAAGGTTCTGCTGGAATCCCTGGGCTCTGGGTGGCCTCCCTGTGCTCTCCAGCTTCTCTCTTCAGGTGTGGGCTCTGTCCCTCAAGTGCACATCACAGGGCCAGAAGAAGACGGCGTCCGAGTTGTGTGCATGGCCTCGGGGTGGTTCCCAAAGCCCCAAGTGCAGTGGAGAGCTCTAAGTGGAGAGAAATTCCTGACGTTCTCTGAGACCCAAGCCCAAGAAGCTGAAGGGATGTTCACCATAAAGGCAACTCTTGTGGTGAGGGACAGTTCTTCAGGGAATGTGACCTGTTCAGTCCTCAACCCCATCTTGGGCCAGGAGAAAGCAATGGCCATTTTCATCCCAGGTCAGTACTACTTCCCACTCCTAGAAGGGTGGGATTATCTTGGGGGTCCCTGTGTGTGCTGGGCTGGGCCATCCTGAGCAGTATCCTGATGGGGTGTCTGGCTGGGCACAGAACCCTTCTTCCCTCAGCGTTCTCCCTGGAAGCTGGCTTTCATGGTGATCCTGACTGTGCTGATGCTCCTACTCCTTGGGGCTGTCTTCTACATCATGAGAGAACATACTGCAAAGCTCAAGGAGATGCAGGAATGGGAGAAACTGCACAGAGAAAAGGAGGAGGACCAGCAGATAAAGGAGGAGGCACTGAAGGCCAGAGGTAAGGCAGGACAGGGCCAAGGCAGACAAGTGTAGAAGCTGGTGCAGAGGCAAAGCAGAGAGTAGGCCCTTGGCCAGGAGCGGGGGCTGAGGAGGACCAGAGAGCACAGGTGGGGCTGTGGAGGCTCAAAGGGTCTGGAGTTAGATCTTCATGGAGACATATAGATGCTCTTGTGGGTTTTCCAGGTGCAGTCTTTGCT